GGCTAATTTATCAAAGTGTTTTCTTTGTGGCCTGTCTAGCAATTTATCGAAACGCATGCAACGTAAAAGAAATAAAAATCGCTTATAAAGCATTGTTGTATAAAAAATTTCAATACCTTACCGTCAGTAGCCCGAAGGTCCTTTACGTTGAGATGCGATGACTTGTGAAGGCCACATAAATATAAAAGTCCTATAACTGCTTTTATCTTGACCACGTCCGTAGCTTTCGAATCTCTTTCACGTTTATAATTTCAAATTACCTCAGAAATATATAAATATGTACATTCTACAATCATTGACAATATACTATTATCAATAAGAATATTCCAACTACTAAAGGGATCAGTAACATTTCTGGCTTCCCTTACAGGTCCTGGAAGATGAGTCATAATATTATGCGAACAAACTCTCACATTTTGTCACATTTTTTGCATCTTTTCCAACAAAATCATCGGAATCATAATCATCTTTAGCATCATCTAGTTCATCATCTTCTTCTGTATCTGTATTATATATATATTCTAAATATTATATACATATTCGCTAAATATTTCACAGTCAGTATCACCTTCAATTTCCAAAATGAAATCTTCATCACTTTCAACTGTTTCTAATAAATCTCGCAGCCGTTGCATCTCCAATTCATAGGGACTCATTCTTTTTGCCATAATGCATTAAAAAATCTTTAAAAATATAATTTTAGCTACTTTAAAATCCCTTGCGAGTAGTAAATATTTATTGTTATACTCTAGAATTTAATATTTGAAATAAATATTCCGTCAAAAAAACACTTACGTGAACAGGTGCGTGGGGTGTGTCATACTCCAGTTCCAACAAATATCAATAAATCTTTTTCTGAAACACAGATGCAACAATAAACCGGGTCTGAAGGTCATACACTACTAGAAACCCAGCTATTGAAACGGGACAAAATTTTGGTTTCACAAGTTGGGAATATTCCACTGTTTTGTAGGGGTGGGATATAATACACCCCAAGCGCCTTCCCGCGGGTTAACAGAAGAGTACCAAGAAATGAAACTGTTTCTGAAGGAAACAAATTTGGTTTCAGAGTTTTTAACTTTTACTTGTACCATACACATTGGTATAACTAACTGCCAGTTTGAAACCAAGAGTTTGATGTCAATGTGCAGCTGAAATGTTGACTTTCTTCTCTCTTAGAAGTAAAATACCATTTGTTTCATGAGAAACTATTTCAATGATCAGATAGCCAACAGGTAAAAAACTGAATATGCAAACAATTGATACTGCAAAATATTGTTCTCCAAAGACAAAGAAATTTAATAATTAGTTATTTACATTACTGCAAACAGTACAACAATTTCATACTCAAAAGAATTTGTCTTCAAGATAAAGAGACAGCAAATTTTCAAAAACATATAATATCTATATATAATTAGAAAAAGGTTTCATATACCATTTCCAAGGAACAGAAATCTAATTAAAACCATGAAAAAAATTTTCAGTCAATATTTTAATTAGTATATTCTAGATATCTATTGCCCAAAACAAACAAACAAACCCGTAAACTTATTTTTAAAAAAAAATCGTCTTTTTTTCCAAGCAAGGATCAAATTATATTTCTGCTACAGCAAAATAAAAGTCACAAACAATATTCAATCAATAGAAAGACATTAGTCCATTTAAGCCAAAAGAACCTTTATAAACAAAATCAAATTAGTAAATAATCTTTTTAATTTTAATTATTTTTAAAATTAAGTTGCTCATGAAGAACATGACTAAAATGACTAAATGAACATTTTTCATGGTTTTAATTGAATTTCTATTTCCTGGAGATGGTATATTAAAATTTTTTCTAATTATTAGTTTATTACTTTGCAGCTTCAGCACAGGTTATAGGCTTTTTAATTTACTCATAATTACTTTTATTTAGAATTTATATATAAAGTGGCTCATACTTGCTTTCAGAAACTTGTGTTTTTCAATTTTATTTCCAAATATCAGTTACTAAATGTAAGAGACATGATTTTTTTTCTTTCAGGTAGAGAAGCTATTGACCTTTTTTTTTTTTTTTTTTTTTTTTTTTTTGTTTTTTAAATTAAACTGCTTGTCTTCAAAACATTTTTGGGTTAAAAAAAAAAGTTCTGTAAATGAATTCACTTCAGATATTTTGACCAAGCAGTTTATATTTGCCATAAACATGAAAATATTGGTTCATCTAATACTCAGGTACCTTTTAGCTAAAATTATACTTGGGTATGGCTTTAACTAATTTTTTTTCCTAGTAAAAATGCTCTATTCCTTTGCAATAATAGCTTTTCTCCAACTCGTTCCATACATATTTGATAGGATTTAAGTCTGAAGAAATATGGAGGTATTTTGATAACTTTAGAACGGCTGTATAATAACCACAAGCGAATATTTGGGGCTCTGTGTTTAGGATTTTCATCCTGATAGAACATGAATATATTTGCATTCTATGTTTTCTTGCAGATGCTTTCAGATTTTAACTAAGAATATTTACAAATTTATAAAGATGCATATTATGTTCTATAAAAAGTAAATTTCCCATCCCAGATGAAGAGAAACATCCAAATTATTATTTGGCTTTCTCATTAATTTGTCCATCAGATACAAATATATTAAATTTTGACTCATCTGCTAATATGACATCATTGCATACAATAAATATTTGCTTACCATGGATATTGCAAATGTCAGGCATATTTTCCTTTTCTTGATGAATTTTCCTTTTGCTGATCATTGATTACATCCTAATAATTCTAACTTTTAGTTAATTTTCTTTGAACTTAACTTTCTTTATGAGCCAGTCTTCTAAATCTGCTGCAAATTTTATAGCATTAATTTTTAGGTTTTGTTTGACTTTTCATAGGATAAAACTCCAACTTCTTCATGTCTGGTTGGAATGTGATACAGACTTCAGTGTATTTTGAGCAGTTCCACACAATTTCAATCAATTTAATACATGAAAAATTTTTGAACACTTTGTTTAGAATTTCTAAAATTGTGGCTAGTTAAATTTTAAGCAGAACTTGCTATTAATTTGTAGCATCTTGCCACGTTCACTTCATATACAGAACTGCTAATACACTTTGCTAAACAAGTAATAATTTAAACAATAATTCTTGTAATGAGTTTTTATTTCAAAAAAATATGACAAGAACATCGTCTTTTAAAACATCAGCAAAACTCTTGAGTTACCAATTACGGTCTTAAGATATTTATTTTATAACAAGCAAGTCTTAAAACAGAGGAGAAAATGTATATTAGGAAAAAATTTTGAGTCTATTTTTTCAATATTTAGTACAAGAGCTATGCAAATAAATTTCAAAAATACAGTGACCTAGAACAAATGTGAGCCACTGTATATTAACTTTTACTACATAAAATTTATGTTAAAAGTCGTTAATCTGGACTCGTCGGGACTTCGGCGATTCCGGATTATAGATCATCAGTTTAAATCTGGTAAGATAACATGCAGAAATTACAAAATTAAAAATTTGAAACTGTAATTTATGAAATAAAGAACAATTATGATTTAAAGGGTATCAAAATTTACAAAAAGAAAAAGCTTAATATTTATTTGTTTACTTTATTAAACATTTCTTTCAATGTAAGTTGCTTCATTTCATGTGATAATACTTTCTCTTTAACTCTATTAAACAGACATAATTTCTTGTTTAGTTACAAAGTTCCGCTGTTCAAGTCCTATAATTGCTGTGTTGAGAATACCGACTAATTTGTCAATCGAAATGTTTCGTTTTCAATAATCGCTGGGTCACTTTCTTCACTATCGGAAGTGAATTATAATGACGAGGAACTTGATTTAAATCATATCAAAGACGGAGTACATCGAGATGGAATACTACACTTAGTAAGGAATTATAAGCCAAATAAAATAAAAACATCTGCCCTGAAGATAAGGATAGTGCTGACAGATCAACTTTAAATCCGCGGCGTGAAATTGATAAACAGATTTCGGATTTCAAAACATACTTTCGCTTTGTAGATACAAATTACATATTAGTAAATATAGATCATAAAATTCTATTTGACATAATTGAAAGTTCAAGCTTACTTTTATGAAATTTGCTCTAACAGTCTGCAAAAAATAATAAGCTGGATCCAATTCGAAGATTAAGGAACAACGCAATTTGCAACATTAACTGAATTAGATAATTTTAGCTTAGCTTATACCTCCGTTACACATTAAATGCGCATGCGTACAAACATATTCGCAGCCGTAAAGGTCTTACGCGCACTCTCAAACGCCTGTGCGCATGCGTGACAGCGACGCATGCGCAGAAAGTTTGTAGCTTTGAGGTCCGGATTATAGGTCATTCCGGATTATGGGTGTCCGAATTAACGACTTTTGACTGTATCAATATCAGGAGACTTTTATTATCATTTGATTTTCACAGATTATGTTTCTTTTGTTTATTTCTGTAAGAAGAAATTTGGAGAATTTTAATAACCAGAATACTGATATTTTGCGTACTACATCATGTAGATTGATATTCAAATGGTAAAACTTTTATAGTCTTGTTGCCAAGCATTAAAGTATTACTAAAAAGTTTATTTCCTGCTGGTGTAGAGATAAACAATATAATACTGTTACAATTCGAAAGACACGTTAAAGATGCCTTATGGTTGGCAATGATGCATTGATGTTACTGTATTATTTTTTAACTTATTTTAGGACAAAAAATCTGGAATTAATTTTTTTAAGTTAAGTATTTTAAATGTACTAGACAAGCAATAAAATTACAATAAATTATATTTAATTTGCCCCCATCACATAGATCTGAATATAATAAAATTATGCCTCCTCCTTGTTCAAAATGCATTGCTGAAAACCATATCCATCTCACATGTATTACAACATTTTATAACTTTATTCCTCAGTTTGACAGAAAACTCTTTTACTTAGGTTTATCACAAGTTTTATTTAGACTACTTAATACTTAAGGTACAATAAGGTCACACAAATGTTAGCTTACTTTTTCGTTCATGTGAAATATCCACAAAGGTATAAGATACTCTGATATGTGAGGTTACCTTGTATTTGAGCCAGTATGATTGCTATAAATTGAAATAAATTACTATTAATCTGCATGACATTTAAGTACTATGTCCACCCTAAGATTCTATTTTGAAACTGCAATTTAACATTTCTTTGAATCAAAATTTTATATGCAGAAAATTACACTATTTTAGGTCTTTAACCTGTTCAGTGTCGTGTTTTAACTCAGTAAGGCCGAGCTAACTCAGGAGCGGCACTGAACGGGTTAGTTTCTTAACAGTATTTTGCACTCCAAATGAGCTTCAATAATATTACTTACTTCAGTTTGATATATCTCACCCTCACGACATTTACAGTGATTGCACACAGCAGCATCTGAAAAATATTACATTAGATATAAACATACTTTAAATTACAATATCTACAAATTACACAATTATATAATATGAAGATTAATGAAGTATAGGTTAGCCATGATATGCCTTTTAGTTGATTACATGCTACCCGTCCATTAATTTAATGATTATTTTCTTTTTTTCCTGTGCATTAGTAAACCACTTTATTACCCATACGATCACACTCATAAAAGGTTAGGCACATTTGTTGTAATGAAATAAATAAAGCTATTGAAAAATGCTTTTTTAGCAATAAAATATGTCAACTTGTATATCAGATAGCACTTTTGAACTCAATAGTAGCTTCAACATGACCTCCCTCTTTTTCTTTTTACAAATTTATAAGAAAGAAGTCTTTATTTACAATTAATGTATACACTACCATTTTAAGTTTGTGTGCATTTCAGTTTAGTCTACATTTAGTTTTACAAGACATTTTATAAAACTGCAAGAAAATGTAGAACTAGCTCCTAAAACAAGGATGTCAAATTTGCGGCCCACAACAAATATTTTTGCCGCCCGGCCAATATGTCGGCAAATAATAATATATAATAATAAAATAACATATCAACGAAGAAAAAAATGAAATGTTTACTGCTAAGTAATTAACGATCATTTATTCAGTGTTGTTAGATTACTCACAGCGAGCTGACACACACACTACTTAAATTACAAATGCGTGTGAGTAGCTTGCGTTCAGCTACCTTCGGCTTTTGGGGGACATGTGCACTCAGAACTTGTACGCATCCCCCGATAACCGAATGTGGCCGAACTCATGGTCTCAGTTTTCCAATCTTAGTTTTGTACGATATATTGGTGCATGCACTTTGCTTTATTATTAATTATTACTTAATTCACATATTGTTACGGATTTCATATTTATTTATTTATTTAGTTTTTTTTTATTTAGAATTGTAATTAGATTTGCTTCATGTTGCCTTAGCAACGCAGACGATTTTTGAAAAGACAGCTGCGTTGGAAGGTTAAAATAGAACAGCGCATGCATTTAATACCTAATAAATAAATATCTCGTAATTGCTGTTGCCATCCACAAAAATCCAGATATTTATTAGATGTTTCCAGTATATTCGAGAAATTAATTTATAAAGCTTATAAAAGCCGAGAACAACAACTCATCTCAGTAGTAGCTGTAGTTCTAGCGAACTGTTGTTTACTTAATGCTGTGATTGATTTGTAGCGATTTCGCTGTGAGATAGAATTAGTTTCTCGTGTTTGAATTGATTTTTGCTAAACGTTAGACATTTTGTGATATTGTTAGAATATTTTTGAAGAATATTTCAGCATTTTGATTTACTCTTGTGGAAAGAATACAATTTTGTTAACTTTTTAACGTTAACCGTCTTTATTCCAGCCCTTTGTATTCAGTATGTCTATATCAAAACCAAGTGGTAGTAAAATTAAACGAAAAATTGCTGACGAACATACAATATTCCAAGTAAAATGGGAATTAGAATATTTTTGCTGTGAAATAAAAGATAAAATAATCTGCTTGATATGTAATAATACTATTAATGTACCAAAGTTATATAATATTAAACGTCATTACGAACAACACAAATCGAAATATAACAATTACAAAGGATTAATGAGAGAAGAAAAGTTGAAAGAGCTCAAGTTAGGAGTGAAAAAGCAACAGTCCATGTTTAGTAAAGTATTGCAAGAAAGTGAAGTGGCGGTACATGCAAGCTACGTCTTGTCCGAGTTGATAGCTAAACATTCGAAGCCTTTTACTGACGGTGATTTCATCAAGGAATGCCTAATGAAAGCTGGAGAAAATGTTTGTCCTGGAAATGTGAAGGCTTTTCAATCAATTTCATTGTCTCGAAATACAGTTGCGGAAAGAGTTACTGATTTAGCCGCGAATTTAAGTGATCAGATCAAAGCAAAATCATCTAGTTTCGAAAGTTTCTCCATTGCCTGTGACGAGAGCACGGACATTAGTGGCAAAGCTCAATTAGCAGTGTTTCTTTGTTCTTCTGACAAGAATTTTAACATTTTTGAGGAATTACTGGAACTAATACCGATGCTTGGTACTAACACAGGAGAAGATATATTTACTTGTGTTTTTGGACTTCTGCAGAAATACAATCTATCTTTGGCAAAATTAAATTCTGTAGCTACAGATGGTGCTCCATCAATGACCGGGAAAAACAAGGGCTTCGTAGCATTACTAAGAAAAAAGCTTAGTGAAATTCACGGTTCAAACATTCATCATATGCATTGTATTATACATCAAGAAGTTCTATGCACGAAAGTAATGAATATGGAGAATGTTTTGTCATACATAAAAAAAGTTATAAATTTTATAAGATCTCGAGGTTTAAATCAGCGTCAATTCACTGCTTTCTTAAGTGAGTTAGATAGTGAATATTCGGGTTTGTCCTACTATACCGAGGTACGTTGGTTATCTTGCTCCAAGATTCTCAAACAATTCTGGGATTTGAAAGAAGAAATACGTCAGTTTTTAAAAACGAAAAATCAAGACGTAAGTTTGTTTTACGATCCAATATGGATACAAGATTTATCTTTCTTGGTTGATATAACCAAACACTTAACTGATTTAAATTTATCGTTACAAGGAAAAGATCATATCATTACGAACATGTTTGACATAATTAAAGCATTCAAATGTCAACTAGTTCTTTGGGAAAAACAACTTAAAAATGAAGATTTGACGCACTTCCCGACGTGCAGCATGAACAAATCAAGTTTAGATGATACTTGTTCGTATCAAAGATACGCAGAAAAAATTGCAAATTTAACAACTGAATTTGAAACGAGGTTTAATGATTTTAGTTCCCTCGAAGACAATTTTTTTTTTTTTGTTTTGTTTTGTTTTTGTTTTCTTCGATTTTCTCAATAAGTATTGACTCAGTACCCAGCCATATGCAAATGGAGGTGATCAAGATTCAATGCAACTCAAATTTGAAAGCAAAATTCGTTGAAGTGGGCGTGCCTGAATTTTACAAATATTTACCAGCCAGGTTTGAAAATACTTGAAAATTCGCATATGAAATTATTTCCATGTTTGGTAGCACTTATCGGTGCGAACAGTTATTTTCAGTCATGAAAGGTAATAAGTCTCCTATTAGAAACCGTATTAATGATGCTCACCTTGGGTCAGCGTTGAAAGTTATCACTGCAAACAAAATTTCCCCCGAAATAGGAAAGATAATAGCAGAGAAGAGATGTCAAGTATCAGGACGTAAACATTAAATTTTTCTTGTTCTTTTCTATATAAATATATATATATGTTTATTATTGTATTATTCGAAATAAATCTACGTTTCTATGAATATTGATTTTTTTTTTTTTGCGGCCCGCCAAAAATTAAACCTTGTTTGTTTGGCCCAAGTGTACCTATGAGTTTGACATCCCTGTCCTAAAATGTTTAATGTGAAGCTTAATAGTTTAAACTGTTATTCTTAAAATTAACAAATTAACAATCAAACTTATCTTATGCTTTAGCTTGAATTACATAATTTATAAGATGTTTTTCACATGTTTTAACTAAATAATACGGTACAAAAGTATGCAGCCTTGTAAAAAAAGACACATGATATATATATATACAGTACAAAATCTTTAATCCGGACTCGTCGGGACTTCGGCAATTCCAGATTAGCGGTTTTTCTGGATTGTAGATAATCAATTTAAATCTGGTAAGATGGCTTGCAGAAATTATACAATTAAAAATATGAAAACCGTTAATTTATGAAATAAAGAGCAATTATGATCTAAAGGGTATCAAAACTTACAAAAAAAAAAAAAAAGAGGCTTAATATTGATTTGTTTACTTTATTCAACATTTCTTTCAACGCGCGCATGCGTATAGCATACATTATGCATAGTCAAAATTTGAAAATTGCAAACAGAAAACTATTTGATGTGTATTCGTGATAATGACGAGGAAATTGATTTAAATCATAACGGAGTACATCGAGATGAAACACTACATTTAGTAAGGAATTATAAGCCGATTAAAATAAAAACATCAGCCCTGAAGATGAGGATAGTGCTGACAGATCAACTTCCACTTCATTGCGCGATGCGACATCCCCCCCCCCCGCAGAGCTGCATGAAATTGATAAACAGATTTCGGAATGGTTAAAGAAACAAATCACCTCTCTGTCACTTTCTTCATGCCTTTATCCATTTTTTTGCAGCAATTCCACTTTTTGTTTAATGGACATCGAAACATGCTTTCACTTTTGTAGATTCTTTGGCAGCTCCAGAATTGGAAACTCTTTTTGACATAATTAAAAGTTCATGCTTACTTTTCAAAAAATTGCTTTAATAGTCTGCAAAAAATAATAAGCCGGATCCAATTAGAAGATTAAGGAACAACGCAATCTGCAACATTAACTGAAATAGATAATCAGATAATTTTAGCCTAGCTTATACCGTTTGTTATACATTAAACGTGCATGCATAAATGTATTATGCACATGCGTAAAGTTATTATGCGTTTATGCATGCGCAGAAAGTTCGTAGCTTTGAGGTCCGGATTATCGATCATTCCGGTTTATGGACGTTCGGATTAAAGACTTTATTCTGTATATATATATATGTGTGTGTGTGCAGGTAAAAAAGGAAGAAGAGAGAAAAAGAAGATTTTTGTTCTTCCTGCTTTCAAAGCAAAATTTATGTTATTTTAAATTAAAAATATCTGAAGCATTGGAAGAGGAAAGAAAGCACCAAAATCATGAAAACAAAAATCAAAATCACATGCACACACTTTAGAATCAACCTATTTTAGCAACTGTCTTTATATTACAGCCTGGAAACAGGAAGATCAAGAAATAGAATTTTCATTTCTACGTAGTCTCCTTCCTACTTTTAACCAAACACAAATTTCAGTATACACTACAAAAGCAGATTTGGTACTTCTTGCACATAAAAATCGCAAACACACAGCCAAACCAAATCAACTATATCATGCAAGTTGCACTTGCAATG